CGCTAATTGCCGTTCGAGATCGCGTAGCGATTTGTAACAAACGAAAGAAAATCAGCGGAGGAACGTACAGGAGTTCGATGAACTCGGGATCAAGAGAAGAGTAGAATGTTATTATGGTAACAGGTTCTACTAGGCTGGGGTACGATTCTGAAAAAACGTCCGTGATGATCGCGTTTTATGCTCGAGTGTCGAGTCATTCTATTTTACGCTGTCCCATTTGGCAAACATGCATATTGGAGACATATGTTTATTTTTATCTTGCCTTTTTTTCTTTGGAAATATTTTCATAATAGGTCTGTTCGTTTTGGCTACACTGGTTCAGAGGTTATCCTTTTCTTTCTAATGTCGAACAAGAAAAAACTTCTGAACTAGTGTAGCCAGTGTAGTAGTCAAAATGAACAGATCTATTATAAGTGAAGAAGGTAAAGATCAAAAAGGACTTTTGTTGAACTTTTTTTCTTATTTTTTTTCAGCACTAAACAATCGACTTCTTTACACGCGGACAATGATCTTTTGTCACAAATTGCAACTATATAGTCAGATCCTGAGTTACCTGAGGTTTTGTTCCCCATCCTAGGAAATCGTCCTTGAAAGCTTTTTCTAAAGTTTCTACCGCTTCGAACTTATATTTTTTTTAGTCTCAACATGGATTCTATTATTTTGCAAAATTTTGAAGATTGTTTATTTCGAGATGTTTATTTTCCTGATTGTAAATATAATATAATTAGACATTTGAAAAAGTGAGAATACTGTAATCTTTGTTATATTTAATTATTTTAATTACAGCGACCATTTATTGATTGATAATTATCTCATCTTCTTTCTCGTCAAATATACCATTTGTTTATTGACGATAAACATTAATAAAACCGCATTGGATGGCGCGATAAATATAACGAATAAATGATATCGAATAAATCCGGCGTTTAAATTTTCGCGAATTTTCCAGTTTTTCTGTCTTTTCTTTTTTCATTTCTATATCTTAATTTGCTATTCACTCGACGACGATTCCTTAACTGAACTTGCGACGTGGCGTCGAGTGCGAGATTACTTTCTAATCCGAAATTACTCGGTGATAATCCAGTTAGTTAATAAGCTGCAAGAAAAAACGGTGTACAGAACGAATGTCAACTTGTATCGGCATTGCACGAGTCGCTGGACTTCGAATCCACTGATATCTCTTTTGCGACTATCATTTAATTTTTATTGTGATTTTAATTCACACTTAGTAACATCTCAACTTTGCACAAGAATATTGTTAAATAATTGAGTCAAATAGTTTTAGGGAGAATTTGAAGTCTCTTTAAGAATTATCTCGAAAAAGGAAAAAAATAATTTCGGAAAATATTAAATATATAAAAATACCAAACATAACTTGAAAAAAATATATAGATCTTTTCTCTCGAAGACTCCCAATCTCATGAAACCAGAATTTCTCTGTGATTTATAGACTGCAAAAAATGTATGGGTGTCAGTAGCTTTTGTGTCATAAATATTGAATTATTTGTTTATTGTTATTGTTGCGTACATAAACTAATGTTTTCGTGAATTTTGAAACTTTCCCCAATTGAGGAAAAGAAATGAATATTATGTGTAAAAATCGACTCGGAAAAAACAATTTTCTCACTTAGAAACGATACAATAGCAACAAGAATTTTCGCTTATCAAAGAAAATTTAATTATTATTTCAAAATATATTTCTTATTAGCGAATTAACGAAATTCTGCGTTGAATTCTTGCATCGTATACAGAATTATATGTATTCAGATAACTTCGATTTATCGTTAGTGTGTTTTCTCTCTACATTTTTTTTATTTTTCCAAAAATTATATTAACAATATTTTTCCAAAGTTTTTCATTAAACAAATAGATAAAAATGTTTGATCGTGGATATATATTACGATACATATATATGTTTAAATTGGAAAGATGTGATAGAAATGCAGATGCAGTTGAAAAAAATTAATTACATCGAATGTTCTCGTAACTTAATTTTCTCCATATTTTAATATAGTTAAAAGATCAAGAAAATCGCCGCAACGCGATGATTTTCCGGGATAAGCTGCAATCATTTGTGCGCGTGTTTGCGTTTGCGGATCGATTGGTCCATTCGGCACGTCGATGCACGTCAAGACGACGAAGGATCATTCTTCTTCCTCACGTCGTACAAATACGTTCAACTTGACCCCGATTACGCTGAATCGGATTTCCGGTGATCCTAGCGGACACTCTCGAATCAATCCTTACCTCGGGGGGTGGAAAACGAGGGGGTGGAGGGGAAAAGGCGGTGGTCGAGAGCGATTCGAATCGCGCGGAAAGTGAAACTTCGTATCCTCGTCGACTTTGGCCATATAGATACGGAGGCTCTTCTTCCTTCACGAGCAATAATTTACCAAACTGAATCGGACACCCGGCGTTTCCGGATCTAGTTACGCGAGCCACATCCCGCGTGTACGTTCGAATTTCCTAAACACGGCCTCGCGTTAAATCGCGCAACGTAAAATGCTTTTTACACGGAGAGAATTTTCGCGAATTTCATGAAAATTATGAACGTAATCGTGGTGATGATTATAATATTTATCGCAATAACAGAATATTATAATGCAATGTACATGATAAAATTAATCGAACGTATTTTATATCTTATTGTGGTAAAGATTAATGTTTTCTATTCTATTATATGATTTTTGGGGTAAATTCCAAGAAAAAAATGCTTTTTACACGAGAATTTTTTTTGGAATTTACTCTGGAAATCATGGTAATCGTGGTGCTGATTATAATATTTATCGCAATAAAAAATATTAATATGTACATGATAAAATTAATCGAACGTATTTTATATCTTATTGTGGTAAAGATTGATGTTTTCTATTCTATTATATGATTTTTGGGGTAAATTCCAAGAAAAAAATGCTTTTTACACGAGAATTTTTTTTTGGAATTTACTCTGGAAATCATGGTAATCGTGGTGCTGATTATAATATTTATCGCAATAAAAAATATTAATATGTACATGATAAAATTAATCGAACGTATTTTATATCTTATTGTGGTAAAGATTGATGTTTTCTATTCTATTATATGATTTTCGGGGTAAATTCCAAGAAAAAAATGCTTTTTACACGAGAATTTTTTTTGGAATTTACTCTGGAAATCATGGTAATCGTGGTGCTGATTATAATATTTATCGCAATAAAAAATATTAATATGTACATGATAAAATTAATCGAACGTATTTTATATCTTATTGTGGTAAAGATTAATGTTTTCTATTCTATTATATGATTTTTGGGGTAAATTCCAAGAAAAAAATGCTTTTTACACGAGAATTTTTTTTTGGAATTTACTCTGGAAATCATGGTAATCGTGGTGCTGATTATAATATTTATCGCAATAAAAAATATTAATATGTACATGATAAAATTAATCGAACGTATTTTATATCTTATTGTGGTAAAGATTAATGTTTTCTATTCTATTATATGATTTTCGGGGTAAATTCCAAGAAAAAAATGCTTTTTACACGAGAATTTTTTTTTGAAATTTACTCTGGAAATCATGGTAATCGTGGTGCTGATTATAATATTTATCGCAATAAAAAATATTAATATGTACATGATAAAATTAATCGAACGTATTTTATATCTTATTGTGGTAAAGATTAATGTTTTCTATTCTATTATATGATTTTCGGGGTAAATTCCAAGAAAAAAATGCTTTTTACACGAGAATTTTTTTTTGGAATTTACTCTGGAAATCATGGTAATCGTGGTGCTGATTATAATATTTATCGCAATAAAAATATTAATATGTACATGATAAAATTAATCGAACGTATTTTATATCTTATTGTGGTAAAGATTAATGTTTTCTATTCTATTATATGATTTTCGGGTAAATTCCAAGAAAAAAATGCTTTTTACAAGAGAACTTTTTTTTGGAATTTACTCTGGAAATCATGGTAATCGTGGTGCTGATTATAATATTTATCGCAATATATTAATGTACATGATAAAATTAATCGAACGTATTTTATATCTTATTGTGGTAAAGATTAATGTTTTCTATTCTATTATATGATTTTCGGGGTAAATTCCAAGAAAAAATGCTTTTTACAAGAGAACTTTTTTTGGAATTTACTCTGGAAATCATGGTAATCGTGGTGCTGATTATAATATTTATCGCAATTATTAATATGTACATGGTAAAATTAATCGAATGTATTTTATATCTTAATGTAGTAAGTATTAATGTTTTCTTTTCTGTTATATGATTGTCCGAGTAAATTCCAAGAGAAAATTCTCTCCGTGTATATATCTTGCTATACGATGTCTATATCTACATGTAAGTATATCCAGTTAAGAAAGGAAGAGAAGAATATAGCTATTATATAAAATATTTGTTGACGTAGCATCGGCGAAAGAAATCAGAACACGATACGCGGAAAGATCGATTAGACGCGGTGTCGAGACATATATACGGATATATCGGATTAAATAACAGTCTAGGAAGCTCGAAGCGAAGGAGAAAAGGGGAAAAATTGTGCGATTTTTGCGGCAGATAAGAAAAACGCTATGCAATTTCAACTAAATTCATCAACCGACCGGGCTTAGATTAATTCCGAGCACGAAACTCTATATAACAACCCTAGCACGATATTTCCCAGATATTCCCAGATACTTGGAAATTTCATATCCGCGTTCTCAAAATCCTGGGGGTTGACTCGAAAAGGGGTTTCGCCGAGAAAAGAGAGAGAGAGAGAAAATGACATGTGAGGTTAGGACCGTGTCCATTGCGTGAACGTCGGCGCTCACGTGGCACCCCTTCCCTCCCCTCCTTTCATTCTCGTCGCCCGGCATCTCTTCCCCCTCTCCCTTTCCTCATCTCGCCCCACCGTTCCGCGCACCTCTTCCCCCACCCCTCTGCTCAAAGCAACCGCGCGGCGCGTCGCTCTCCCCTTCTCCCGCGCCCCGCGTATATAGTCTTCAGCGCGCTCTCGACGGGAGAGGGCGATCGCAGCGCCGTTCTCGCGCTCCGCCGCTTTTCGGGTTCAGTAACGCGAGCGCTTCCGTGGAGTTTGGTACTCGAATTCACTCTCTCCCTCACACGCTCGTGTCGCGTGTGCTCGTCGCGCGGCGACACAACGCGCGCGTTTACTTTACATCCATTTTTTCGTCTCTTCTTCCTTTCTCCGCGTCGTGTGAAATAATACGTTAACACGTACAGTGTGCCTGCGTCGTAAGTGATCACCGAGCGCGCGCGTCTTCTGTGAAGTAAACATCGGAGACGAGTGTGTAGAGTAGTGGGATCGACGCTGTGTGAATCCGCGCGTACATTGTGTATCGTAAACAAAAAAGGACACCTAGTTAAGCTCTCAGGTATCTCCTAAGTGATCTTGGGTGTCCGAGAGAAGTTTCGTATCTTCCAAGAGAATGCCGAGACGCGTAACGTCGTCTTGGATCGAGCAGCAGCAGCAGCAACGGCGTGCTCGCGCCGGCTTGGTTTTCGGGTCGCCGAGCGGCGACTGAGGGGGGGCTCGGGCGGGAGAAGGGATGCGAGAGATCCCGCGGGAGCAGCAGCCGGCGCGGAGTGTAGGTAACGGCGTGTCGTGTAGGTGTTAGAAGAGGAGGAAGTGAGTAGGAGGTGGTGGAGGAGGGGGTGATTTCGGTGGCGCGAGGATGGCCGGCTGGCGACGAGTAACGCTGATCCGCGACGTAGGTGCTGCTGCGCGTCGCGACGTCGACCGACCCGACGTGACGGCCACGTGCCACAGCGGACGCGTCGTCGTTGGCCAGTGGCATTAACTCGATCTCTCTCTTTCCCCCCTCTTGGTGTGTGTGCGTGCGTGTGTGTGCGCGTTTGTGTGATTGCGTGCCGAGTATGTCGTAACCGGAGGAACACGCGATCGCGGTGTATAACTTCTTCGTTGTCTATATTTCGAGGTTTTACATGTATAAACAGGGGAGATATAGGAAGCTCAAATTGTGTACGAGAAAGTGAGAGAATATGTATCGAGTTGGGATTGATTCGACGACGACGACAGTCTACTCTATGATAGAGAAGGAGGATTTGTAGGTTGCAAAAGGTTCTTTCGTAGCTTCTTCGAAAGTCGCGCGAACAGGTGGCCGTTCATTTCTCTTACGTAATACGCAAAAGATTTTTTCGCTGTAACGCGATTTTCAAAAAATTGGAAAACGTCCGCCACGACATCTTCCGTCCGACGTGTACGCGGGAATAACAAGTGCTTCGTTCTTGAAATATACTCGTTCCTCGAATGTGCAGTGATACGTAACGTCCCCCTTCTTCGTAGTGATCATTATAGTGACAAGAATCAAACAACGTCGTCGATATTTCGAAAGTGGAGTTGTTTGAGTGCGATCGATTTGAAGGATCGATCTCGAGAACTTGACGGATGTTTCGAAGAAGCGCGGTACACGGCTGACGAAGATCACGTTTCAAACTCTCTCTCTCTCTCTCGTCCAAGGCTCGAGGGAGGAGAAAGCGAAGGGAGAGTTGGAAAGAAAAAAACAGGACGAAGAAGAGAGCAATAGAAGGAGCTATTATATGACTACCGAAAGCGGGGCAGAAAAAAGAAGGGAGAAAGAGAGAGCAAAGTAGGAGAGAACCAGAAGAGAGAAGAAGTAGAAGTAGAAGAAGAACGCTGGTAGTCTAATCCAAATCCCGGCGGAAGTTCGCGGCGAGGGTGAAGAGCGCCGTGGAGGGGGGAGTGATGCCGGCGGTGAGCGTGGCACAGCGCCCTCCAGGTGGAATCCCACTCCACGCCGGCGTGCCGGTAGCGCCCAGCAGCGTAACCGCCCCCGGTCCGTCGGGCCGGTGCCTCGGGGGCCCGGCAGCGCCCCCCGCCGGCTCGCCACCGCTGCCCCCGTCCTTGCAATCCCTCGGCGGCGGCGTCGTCGTCGCCTCCAACAGCAACGTTAACCCCATCAACATCAATCACGGTAACGGAAACAACAGCGGCAACAACAATCCGCTCGTCGGTGTAAATCCTAACAGCGCCGTCAACAATCATCATCTAGGCATCAACACGGCGAGCGGCGCCACGAATCCACTCCAGGCGATGGCGTCGGCGGCGGCATCGCTGACGCAGCTCAACAATATGGCGAACGGCCCGTTGCCCCCGCTCGCGGGCACGGGCCCCGGCGGCCCGCCGAGTCTGCCGCCGCCGCAGCCGGCGACCACGCCGACCCACGGCGGGCCCCCGACCCCTCACGGCGGCGTGAACGCGGCGCCCCATCTCAACGGGGCCTCGCCGAGTCCGCACCCGATGCCCCCTCACGGTATGATGACCGGCTCGCCTCATACGCCTCACCCTCATATGGGGGGCGGTGGGCCCTCGCCCCATCCCCATCACCCGGGACCCCACATGGTCAGCTCGCCGCATCATCCAGCGGCGCCCCATCCGATGGGCCCGGCCGGTATGATGGGGCCGGTCGGTATGCAGCCTCAAGGCGCGCCCGGTATGTGCGGCCCCGGGCCCAGCGGCCCGATGGGCCCGCACGCGCACCCTCAGGGACCAGGGTACCCGGACAGCCGCACATGCACAACGACCCGTTCTTCTGCTCGCCCTTCGGATCGCATTACGCGTACAGGTAAATTCGATAGATTCCGAGACGCGTGTTGTTTCCCTTCGTTTCGAGACGAAGGAGCGAATTTTTATTTATCTCTTACATGAACGTACGAAATTTTCTTATTTTGTTCATATTAAATTCAAACGAATATTTATATATTTGATACGATCAAGAGCGTTCGATCGAATTACAACAATTTTAATTTCTCTCTTAAACAAAATTTAACAAGATGTTTGAACATATAATTTAAAACACAGCGATTATATCGATTTAAACAGTTTCTCTGTTAGCTCAGAGAATTGATGATCGAAAATTGAAGCAAATTGCATATTAATCTCATTTTTTCATCATTTATACTCATCGTTCGAGTTAATAAGATTTGAGACAAGTCTGTCTTGACAAAATGATTTTAATCAAATTAATTAATTTTATATCTATGTTGCAATTTTCTTACAATATATTTTACTAGTAGGTAATATTTATATTTATGTAGTCGGCGATATATAAAAGAGAGAGAAAAGAAGGCTCTCTGCTTTTCAAGTCTTATTATCGCACTTCAAGTTATAAAGTTGATTACGGAATTTTGCTGCAGAAAGTACAACTCAAAGACTAGAGCATATTAAATCGATAGTGCGTTTTAGTCGCCAACAAATTTTCTTTCACGTTGGACAGGCTCGATTTTTATAAGATCAATACATTAACAAAAAAAAGTGCTTTATTTTGGGTAACGAATATATTATAATAGCAAAATTATTATAAGGAAAATAATTTATATATTCTATATTTAATTATATGTGAAAATAAAAGATATTGATATCTTGCTCGATCGATCGAGATAGCCACGTGTATCATCGTTTATTTCTTTTTAAAGAAAACATCTTTGCGCATTTTAAATTAATTCTACAGATTACTGCGAAAGATGTTGGAATTATATACAGCTTTATCAAAAATTGCTCACTTTCCACGACTCCCCCTTTTTTAAGGAATTTAAAATAATTATTTTACAAGAATATTACATATATTCTTGTAAATGCCATATTTTTCACAAATTTTTAATTTTTGATATTAAACATTTTAATAATGTTTAAATATTGAGAGAGCTTGTAAAGGAAATGTTTAAATTTAGCTCGTATTATAAACATATTTTTGTTATTTTTATTTGCATCTTTAAATTAGGTTGATTCACAAGAGATTACTTTAGAAATGTATTTCTTGTGTGAATAAAACTTTATATTTTTATAATTTCTCAAAATATTTAGCTTTATGTTAATGGAAACGAGAGTGCAAAATTACTGAGACACGCTCCGCCCTATAACGATATAATAAATAAGTAATTTGTCGTTATAGCGGTCATAACAATTCGCCGTCACGCGAAAAAACACTCGCACGTGCGTCTCGCAACAGGATCAGGGTGGAACTTTGTGTGAAGGCGTATATATGTAAACTTTTTTTCTGCGCGCGGAAGGGTAACTGAAGGAGAAAAGGGAGAGAAAGAGGGACTTTTACAGAGTCACGCGAGGTTTTTTTTTACGAGAAACTGTATCGCGTGGCCAAAGGAATCTCTCGCGAAGCTCGCCTCTTGCCGCCATTTATGCTTTGCCGTACTACTTATGCCTCGTGCCGCTGATAATCGCGGTAGATACTCCGCTATTTGTACAAAATGGTATTCTAATCAACGATAAATCCTCACCTTTTGTTCGCGTTTTTTGTCTCGAGCGCAAGAAAAAAAAGTAGACTGCATGACTTTTGCAATGTGCAACTGACGTGCATTAATCGAGATCGGTGTCATTAGATTCGCGCATTCATTGATCGTTAAAAAAATTTTTATTTTCGTTTTTTCAGGATCAGTTCGAAATTTGTAAGTTTATGTGAAATTATAATTATAGTCATTTTGCGCGAGATTATTATGACAGAAGTTAGTTTTCAACGGTAAAGTCAATGGTTAAAATTTAATATTTAATATTTTTATATATGTATAATATTGTATAAAAGATTCTGCGACGTGACATTTCTCTCGCAAGAAAGGATTAGAAGGAAAAAATGGGAAACATTTTCGACAATATTAAGTTAAGATTATTTCACGGCTTGTTCTTCGATTGGTGTCGAGACTTATATTCTCCACGACTGGATTGATGAGCTTTTTTCCGCCGCGGATATTTTTAGACAATTGTTTTACGGTTCGATACTTCGTTCCATGCCAATCGTCCGGTAGTCGCTCACTAGTACGTTCTCTCAGGCGTAGTAACAGTATACCTCAAGAATCCGTTATCGTGCCTCACAACCAGGATCTTCCTGGTCACCGGTTCTACAGCTGGCTCCGGCAAAGAATAATACAAGGTAGAAAGGTTCAAAAATCTATAATATTGCCCGAGTAATATTGTTGCTATTCGCCAATTTCAAGGCGCATTTGCCAAGGTTAGATTTATAATAGCGATTAAAACAATAGAGCGATTAATCGACTGTATTAAAAATTCGATTGTTCAAACACATTAAACATTATTATAGACTATCTGTCAGGTGCGTTAAAAATCGCACGTCGTTTTTCTCGCGGTATCTCTTGAACTCTCAGATGGGGGAAGAAGGAAGGTGCCTCCGGTTCCAGGTGTGCACGTTTGTTCGCGACTTCCTTCTTTTGCGAGGAGTTTACCTCGCGAGAAAAAGTCGGGGGGTTAAGAACGTCGATAGTCGTAAGTATGTGCGATGACGACGATTATTCGGTACTTCTCCTCCTTTGGCCTTCTGCGTATCCGGTCTGGATGTCTCTATCGCCACGGCATCATCTCTACGCAGGCCGTCCTTGTCTGGTGGTAATCGCGCGGGCTCATTAACATAAGCGTTCTACCCTGCTACATTCGAGTACGAATGACGATGCTACTTTGCTCGCATAGAATTGTACCTTTCTTCTTTTTTTTTTCTTAATATAACCTGACAATTCCATTTAAGTTCGCGAAACATTCGACTCGATTTGTCGCTTGTAATTCTTGCCACGTCGACGAGAATATTGAGAATGGAAATCTTATTTTATATGGTCAGGAAAATGTCAAATATTGAGTATTGAATGATAAATATTAATACAAAATTACGTCGCGCGATGAAATATTTTTCGACTGCTCCAAGATATATTTTCTTTTATGCAAATGTTTTGAACTAATTTACTTTTTAGACGAGCTTACGCCTTGGCTAATATCATCTCGCGAGATTACAGACGCGATATGTTGCTCAGATAAGAAAGCCCGCGTTTACGTATCGTCGTCGAGTTGCTTTGACTAGTGTTTGCACTTGGTTGAGCTTCTTAGAATATATATATGTATATATAATATCGTAACTTGGGAAAATCCAATATACATCATCACATTAAAGGATATACTGTTTCAAAGTGGAGTTTCTGTATAGATTCTTTGATTGACTTTTCGAAATATAAATTGCGCAAATTTGAAAATTTGCCGGAATAAAAATTATTCTTACATTTACGAGATATATAATTACGATTGCGAACAAAAATATATATATGCGATGGTTTTTAAAATAGAATATAGTTACACACAAGTATGCGTACGCGTCATTGTTATATAAACTCTATAGTTCTCTTGTATATGTGTGAATAACGCTACATTATTTCCTGCATAAAGATAAGTTTTCGTTTGTCGTCCGTTCGTTCGAGCGAGCGAGAAGAGAGAACTCAGCTTCGATAATCTGCGCAAAATGCAGCCTTGACGTTCTTATATTCTAAAATCCATCATCACAAAGATATATGTTACATCATTCAAATATTTGCACCGGCTACATACACCGAGATTACGCATACACGCGTAAAAGATGTTGTTTCAAATTCTCTCTCTCGAAAAAAAAAAAACATGTTATCGTGAGACGAACGATGATGACGCATCGGATAGAGGCCTAACCGATTTAACTACGCTCTCGAAAATTTATTATAATCATTGCGGAACATTTCGAGTGCGTATATACAAACACATATATATTTTAGACAGGCAAAGCAGAGCATGAGTATCGTAAAATACTTTATCGCGTTGGATTCGCGACGACGCGTATGTGATGTCGATGGGGAAAAAAAGAAAAAAATAAAAACGTGAGAACGCGCCGTGGAAAGAAAGTGAAATTAATTAATCGTGAATATTGTACAAGAAAATACCGAAGCGCGGGCGAAGCGTTTAAAGCACGATCGGAAGTGCGAGCACCGTCGTGTGGCCTTATCTTATCGCGGGCCTCTCGGTAGGATAAGAAGGACCTTGATCGCCTCGCGACAAAGCGAATCGGCACCTTGCCTCGCTTCGAAACATCGATTTTCTGCTTTACTACACGCCTCTTTTTAAAGTGCGCGAAATGTTTCCGAAATGACACCACGTCAAAGCTTTCTTCCGTAGAAATTTACATCGAATCTCAATTACGAAGCAATTTAATGTTAAAGATTAAACAAGCCTTCTCCTTTTTTGCTTTTATTTTCAAGGATATCTATACAATTTTTATTTGTTAGAATTTGTATATTTATAAGATTTTTTTTTTTTAAATGAGAAAAAAATGATTATAAAGAGTGAAGTTTAAAATGGCCTTTAAAATCCTTTTTTGAATACAAACATTTAGAATTGTGAACGTGTTTCTTTGAGTAAAATAAAATATTTCAGTCATTGTTTGATTGCTATATATATATATATATAATCTTATAAATATACAAATAAAAATAATAATAACATTACAAAAATGTTATTATTATTTTTATTACAGATGGTTTACGAGTATTTTCTTGACTCATCATTACGTAAATGATGTAAACTATTATAATACAACAATCAACAATAGCGAAAAGATAAATCCTGCGAAAAAATTATTTTTTTTAATGACCAGAAGTTGTATAAGAATATGATAGTGCCAATTTCCTATTGCTATCTACAATTTATTTCAATCGAATTATGAAATCAATTTTTATAATTTTTTTTATTTAGAACGGTGCATAATAACATGATAAAGTATATTCGTAATTCGTAAAAAAATTAGCTTTTTTATTT